ACACACACACACACACACACACACACACACACACACACACACACACACACACACACTTGCTCAGACCTGGATAATCGATCGTTTTACCTAGAGTGAGTGAGAGTAGAACGAGAACAAATCCCGATTTCACCGAAACCTACTAAGACGAAGGATTAGCTCATGAATATTTATTACGTTACATGACGTTTGCGTAGAACGCATACCTGGTTCGCAGAAAGCTTTTCAAATGTATGTGACTGAAAAAAAACGAAACAAAAAACATCACGTCACTGTATGCTCTCATAACATGTCAGAGAATATTGTCATTATGGCTTCGCCATAGTAGGATTCTTAATTTATTCCCACGCGAAACTGCATGGGTGCTTTCACATACTCTATTACAAACGAGGTAAATGAGGTTTACATTAACATTTTACATCTATCCTGTCAGTGCTAAACATGCTGACATTCATGATGTTTGTCATTTTTGTAATGTTGAAGACCGTTTTGATTGTAATTTTGATTTTAACGTTAGTAAATCTGTTTTCACCACTGTGAAGACATTATTATATTTTATAAAAACAAAAGAGACAAGGATCTTGGATACATTAACCTTTTAGTTTGTTTACCAAATCTCATATTCGCATTTAAGGAAGGTATATATACGAAAAATTCGAAAAAAGGGATAGTTTACCCAAAAATAAACATGACTCAACCTCAAGTTGTTCTTCTGTTGAAATTTTATTTTGAAGAATATGATTAACCAAACAGTTGCTGGACCCCATTGGCTTCCACAGTATAGAAAAAGGATACAAATGAAGTCAACAGGGACCATCAAATCTTTGGTTACTCACATTTCTCGAAATATATTCTTTTGTGTTCTGCAGAAAGAAATTCATACAGGATTGGAATAGCTTGAGGCTGAGTAAATGGTGTCAGATTTTCCTTTTTCTTCTTTCTTCTTTTGGGTTTTATTGTTTATTTATCCAGCCACAGGTGGATGTTACTTTCATGAACCACTAGATGGCAATAAAAACTTGCTGTCCACAGTACTTGCATAAAAGCTTTGAGCAAATGTTTAATTTAATTTTCATAATCGTGTGAATCAAAACATTCTATAAAACGAAATGGAAATAGTAACACGAAGTATTAAATAATTTTTGAATGAGCAACAATTAATTGATGAATTATTTCCTGAAAACAATTTTTGACCTTTATTTTATAGCATATAGTTTACTCTTGTTCGAAACTGTTATTTTAATATCACTGAGATACTATTATAGGTTTTTATTTAAAAAATGGGATTGTTTTTTATTTCTTTGGTTTTCATTTTAATTTTAGTTGATGTTTTACTAATTTTGTTGTGAGTTTTTGTCAATTTTAGTTATTTTAGTTTAGTTGTCATTTTTCAACTAGCTCAAATAAATAAATATGTACTGTTGTAACACCCCTGTGGTCTGTTTGTAGTGGTTTCTCACACACACACACACACACACACACACACACACACACACACACACACACACACACACTTGCTCAGACCTGGATAATCGATCGTTTTACCTAGAGTGAGTGAGAGTAGAACGAGAACAAATCCCGATTTCACCGAAACCTACTAAGACGAAGGATTAGCTCATGAATATTTATTACGTTACATGACGTTTGCGTAGAACGCATACCTGGTTCGCAGAAAGCTTTTCAAATGTATGTGACTGAAAAAAAACGAAACAAAAAACATCACGTCACTGTATGCTCTCATAACATGTCAGAGAATATTGTCATTATGGCTTCGCCATAGTAGGATTCTTAATTTATTCCCACGCGAAACTGCATGGGTGCTTTCACATACTCTATTACAAACGAGGTAAATGAGGTTTACATTAACATTTTACATCTATCCTGTCAGTGCTAAACATGCTGACATTCATGATGTTTGTCATTTTTGTAATGTTGAAGACCGTTTTGATTGTAATTTTGATTTTAACGTTAGTAAATCTGTTTTCACCACTGTGAAGACATTATTATATTTTATAAAAACAAAAGAGACAAGGATCTTGGATACATTAACCTTTTAGTTTGTTTACCAAATCTCATATTCGCATTTAAGGAAGGTATATATACGAAAAATTCGAAAAAAGGGATAGTTTACCCAAAAATAAACATGACTCAACCTCAAGTTGTTCTTCTGTTGAAATTTTATTTTGAAGAATATGATTAACCAAACAGTTGCTGGACCCCATTGGCTTCCACAGTATAGAAAAAGGATACAAATGAAGTCAACAGGGACCATCAAATCTTTGGTTACTCACATTTCTCGAAATATATTCTTTTGTGTTCTGCAGAAAGAAATTCATACAGGATTGGAATAGCTTGAGGCTGAGTAAATGGTGTCAGATTTTCCTTTTTCTTCTTTCTTCTTTTGGGTTTTATTGTTTATTTATCCAGCCACAGGTGGATGTTACTTTCATGAACCACTAGATGGCAATAAAAACTTGCTGTCCACAGTACTTGCATAAAAGCTTTGAGCAAATGTTTAATTTAATTTTCATAATCGTGTGAATCAAAACATTCTATAAAACGAAATGGAAATAGTAACACGAAGTATTAAATAATTTTTGAATGAGCAACAATTAATTAATGAATTATTTCCTGAAAACAATTTTTGACCTTTATTTTATAGCATATAGTTTACTCTTGTTCGAAACTGTTATTTTAATATCACTGAGATACTATTATAGGTTTTTATTTAAAAAATGGGATTGTTTTTTATTTCTTTGGTTTTCATTTTAATTTTAGTTGATGTTTTACTAATTTTGTTGTGAGTTTTTGTCAATTTTAGTTATTTTAGTTTAGTTATGTCATTTTTCAACTAGCTCAAATAAATAAATATGTACTGTATGTATTTATTTATTTACAGCCAACACAAGCAGAGAAAACCACTAGTAGAAAAAAAAAAAAAAACCTTGCGTATACTGAGAAAAATGACAATTTCCAGTCTTCAGACTTAAGCTGACATCTAAAATTTAGATTGTAAACTGGAGACTAAAGCACTGTCTCTGACCCTTGAGGAGTGCAGGATATAATTACAGACTGCATGTTTGTAGTTAACCTCAGTTATTTCTGGTTCAAACAATTCCCAAGAGCATTGTTAAATGTACAGAAGCACGTGTCTTTAACTATAAAAAACATTTACCAGAACCATATGTATGGTCATGTCATCTATGAAACATCAACAAGGCTCTCAATGCATTACAATGCAGCTGATAAGATGACTTCATGCTCCATGGAGACTGCAAAAAATAAATACATCTTTATAAATATCTTGAACATATCAAACAGCACAGACAAACATCATCACTTTATAACCTGATCGCATCATATCTATCAACTCCTCCTCTGCCTCACCCAGATGATCTCCAGCCAGGAAAAGTCCCCAGTTTAACAGCAGTGATGTATTTGTGCTCCTTCTGGAGACTGGTGCTAATTGAACAGTAATAGGCTGCACTATTTCAGCAGGGGTCTGGACACTGTTGCAGCGGCATACTATGGCAAGCTGTTTTAACATTTAATCCGAAACCTACTATAATCTATTTTAATGCTACTAGTATTTATGTATGTATGTAGGTATTTATTTGTTATTATTATTATTGATCAATTTTTTTTAGCTAACTAGTATATATTCCATTAAGTTCTAGTAGGCTACTTAGCTGCTAGTGCTTATTCTTTAGCTAATAGTACTTATTTATTAGATACTAGTTCATATTTTTTAGATATATAAGTGTATTGAAGAAGTGTATTGAAATATAGTGACTACTGTTATTCTACTGTTACTAGTAACACATTTCAAATGTTTACCATTGAATTCTATGGGTCTGCCATTCAGATATCCACTATTCAGTATTCATTAGATACTAGAACTTATTGAATACATACTATTACTTTTCATTATATATTAATAGATCCAAGTTATTCATTAGTTACTAGTACTTATTTATTAGACACTAGTATCTTTTGTAATTCTTAACAAATCTTATACTAACTACTTTTTAATAAATACTCTCTATTTAATAAATAAGTATCTATTTAATATAAATATATTTAATAAACCAATTTTTAATATTAGAATTATGAAAAAGTGGTTGGCGCCGATAGCCTCGTGGGCAACGCTAGCGCTTTGGGCTTCCCGTGTTCGAGTCCCGGTTTGCGGACCTTTCCCGATCCCATCCCCCCTCTCTCTCTCCAACTTCGCTTTCTGTCTATTCAATGACTCATAAATACTTCACTTGTTTCATTACTGGATGAATCAGCATTTTTGAATGAATCTCTTGAATAAATGATTCAGTGACAAATACATTTTTAACAGTCACTTGTCTCCACCTACTGGAGAAACTATGTCATCGACACAGTCAAACATTATTTGAAGCGCCAGTTACTTTCAAAAGGTGATTTGCTCTATTTTGATCGCAACCAGACATCAATGTATATATCCGACCTTTATCCCAGTATTTCTGTGATAATATGAATGAATGTAAGACAGAAATAATACTGTGTTGTTGAAGACTCTTTGTGAAGCTGTTTCTTACCTAAACATGGTAACTATCTGCTCTCTGTGTCAGCAGCAGTGCAAACACAGATTTGAATGTTCCGGTATGATTTTTTCAATGCTAGTAGCTAAAAATGAGTGGGCTTACTAGTAGCATAAAAATAGATTCTATACATTTTAAGGATTAAATCAGGGTGACCATACGTCATCTTTTTCCCAGACATTTCCTCTTTTTGGACCTAAAAAATGCGTCCCGTCAGGATTTCTAAATCGCCCAAAATGTCCAGGATTCAGCTTTTGCTTTCTACAGTCACCATTCATTGCATTTTTGTATTAAAGCCCAGTGCGGGACTGTTTTCTTAATCCCACTCCCACTGAATTTCTGACGATTACCGCCTGCTCCCGCAACGTGTTTGTTCCTCTCCCGCAATTTTTGTGTCCAGTCCCGCCCACTCCCGCAAACATTTTAATATTCCATATATTTTTTGCGTATCAGGGATCAATATGCGGAGTATTTAAAGCTATTTTGAATGAGCGCTCTCTGTTCACTTTCACTTTACACTCTGTGTAAAGGGAGCACATCTTACAAAATCAGATATTATTATTTATTTAGATACTTTTATATAAAAGTATATAAAACCCCCCGGGTTAAAGGTTTGGAAATATTGTGTAAATTACATTTGACTGAAATGCTTGTATTGAAACATTTTGCATTCTAGCTATGATAAAACTGTGCTAGATGTTACGTTTTGTGAAGGATGGCCACTGGTAGGAAGCCTTTTAGATGTGTTTTAGAGGTCTTCACGGGTCCAAAAATTCGTACCCGCACCCGAAGAGACCTGTAAATGTGCTGCACGGACCCGACCATTATTCGAAAGTTGGACCCAAACCCGGCTGGGAAGACACAGACCTGACTACACCCGATCGGCACATATTGCACAGTAAACTGCTATTAACAAGTCAATAAACAAATTGCGGAATTTGTTTTTTTTCAACTAGTCGATTAGTCGGTGCAACCCCTAGTAGCCTTCTCCCTGACTGCGATGCATACAATCCTCCTTGCCAATAAATTTCCATCCATGTTAGGCTGTTCCTCACTCTTGCCGACTGAAAGAGCCGTCTTAATCCACTCATTATTCCAGCTTCAAAAGTCTACTTGCTGTCACGGTCGGTGACGGATGACTAATGCAACTTTGCAGTTTTTTTTTTTTTTGCATCTCGTGTTAACTTCGACTGCTGTGTTTACCCTTTTGAACTACAATAACGATACTTTTTGTTGGTTGTAATAAAGACTCGGAGCAATTATTTTTTAGCAAAAAACGCACAGAACAAGAAGTTCGTTACACTTTACTGTGTGCGTGTTCAATAACAGGTGCATCTCTTCAGTAAAAGAAAACGATACAAAACACATGCAAAGTGCTGACTGACACTGATCACTGATGGGGGCAGTGTTCTCCGATCGACTTGGGTATTACACACAAAGTTAAACAGACCCAGGACCCGAAGTAATAGATTGGGACCTGACCCGGACCCGGCTGACCATTTAAAATAAAGACCCGAACCCGTACGGGTCCCAGGTCGGATCCCGGGTCCTTGGGTCTCGGATCGCCTTGATTTTTCCAAGTAAGACATGTTCCTGGATCAACATTACTGTCCAAAAATACAGACTTAACCCAATCCCTACCCATGAACCTAATGCTACCCAAAATGTATTCCTAAAATCAGTGAGAAATGATAGCTGATTAACAAGGGTGTAGAAGCACCAAACCCTGATCATAAGCCTAAAACTGAAATTTCCTGAAAAGATATCCCTCAATTCTGATTGGTTGATTGGAATGTTGTTCCAGGGATCGCCTTGATTTTTCCAAGTAAGACATGTTCCTGGATCAACATTACTGTCCAAAAATACAGACTTAACCCAATCCCTACCCATGAACCTAATGCTACCCAAAATGTATTCCTAAAATCAGTGAGAAATGATAGCTGATTAACAAGGGTGTAGAAGCACCAAACCCTGATCATAAGCCTAAAACTGAAATTTCCTGAAAAGATATCCCTCAATTCTGATTGGTTGATTGGAATGTTGTTCCAGGATCAACAAGGATGTTGATCCAGGAACATGTTGTACTTGGTGAAATCACGCTCACAGTCTTAGTTCCTCTGTGAAGACCTCTACTGTGTTTATGATCAATCTGCATAACAGTGACTGTAAAATATATATATTTTAGGTAAGGAAATGACTACTTTAACCCCCCTCCCCTCCCCCCTCCTCGTCTGCATCCTGCCCCCACTGTCCTCTTTTTGGAAAACTAATACATGGTCATCCTAATTAAATGTTAAAACGGCTTGCCATAAGCGGCCCGCTGCACTGCACTGAACGCTGAGGCAGTTAAGCAGCGTCTGTCCGCACCGAGACTGGCAGTGAGCTGATATAAGAGTCACATTCCTGTCTTTATCTGCTGTGTAAGACCGGACGACGTTGAACTTGTCAGAACCCTGGAGGATTTTAAACATGCGCTCTGCTCTGGATGAATAATGATGGATAACTGAGGGTCTACTGCTGGAAATGCGATGATTTCTCTACAATGGGAAATACGTTCCGCTATGTTACTGTAGTAACTGGATTCATGTTTTATAGCGTTGGAAGTATGCCAAGTTTACAAACGCACGCTGAGTAAAATATGTATGTAGATAATTTAAAAAATGAATTAACATTGAATTTGTGGACACATTGTTTATATATATATATATATATATATATATATAGTTATTATTTTTATACTTTTAATTGTAATTAATGGTGTTATTCAAAAGTTAAGTGAGTTAGATGTTTCAGTGCATAGTCTTCATGATTCATTTAAACCTATGGGCTATAATGAAATCATTTAATTATGACATATCTTCAGGTAAAATATGGGCAAATAAATATGTATATGTTCATATACCTGTATATTGAATAAATGTAGCTTTCAGATAAATCTCTTTTCAGTGGGATTGTGCTTTGTCCATCTTCGGTTATTCAATAATTTAACCAAATTGCTAAAAAAAATATTTTAAATTAAAATAGCTGATTTAGGATTTTACATTAATGGCATTTAATTTTTTATTTTTAAAATTTTTTTAAACAGTTGTACTAATAAATATAATAAATATAAACAAATGCTGAAACCGCACTCCCTGGCCTCCACTAATGATCCTCTTGAATCCTCTAGTGGACAGTTTATGTCCGGCGAGGCTGACAGTCCGTGGGCCTGTTTGCGTGCAGCCTGTTTTCAGTGAGTTTCAGTTAATAATGGATGCTAAGGGTCCAAAAAACAAAGCCAAACACACACACACACACACACACACACACACACACACACTAGTAACACCTTGAATTCAATGTAAGTTTTAAGCAAACTTTGCCTTTTGTTCTCGTCTAAAGTAGGTTTGAATTAATCCCTTAGGATAGTTTTAAGCACAGGATGGCTTTACAAAATAAAGAGGAATAATACTTGGAATATAATTCATTCTGTAGGTAAAACCTGCTATTTATGTTTTGAGTGTTTTGTGCTGTATATTGAAGTGGCATACTGTCTATATGCAGAAACTAAAGCTGACTATCTGTGTCCACGCAGTGAAGCCGGGTCAATGTCCTATACCGGAGACGATTCCACTGTGTGCTGAAAGCTGTTTCCATGATGGCCAGTGTCCTGCCACATGTTGCCCAACCACCGGTGGCTTTGCATGCCGTGAACCACGTGGTCAGGGAAGAGGTCAGGGAAGTGGCCAGGGCCATGGTCAGGGAAGCGGCCATGGCCAGGGAAGCGGTCAGCGAAACGGCCAGGGAAGTGACCAGGGAAGCGGCGAGGGAAGTGGCCAGGGAAGCGGCCAGGGAAGCGGTTATGGCCAGGGTAGTGGCCAGGGAAGCGGTCAGGGAAGCGGCCAGGGAAGTGGCCAGGGCCATGGTCAGGGAAGCGGTGAGGGAAGTGGCCAGGGAAGCGGCCATGGTCCGGGAAGCGGCCAGGGAAGTGGCCAGGGCCATGGTCAGGGAAGCAGCGAGGGAAGTGGCCAGGGAAGCGGCCAGGGTAGTGGCCAGGGAAGCGGTTATGGCCAGGGTAGCGGCCAGGGAAGCAGTTATGGCCAGGGAAGCGGCCAGGGAAGCGGTTATGGCCAGGGTAGCTAACATAACTACATCAGTCAAGATAGGCTAATCTAAAAAAAAAAATTGTTTTGAGACGTGATTTAAAAATTGAGAGACTAAAACTATTACGTATGTCCTGAGGTAGAGTATTCCAAATCGTCGGAGCAATGCAACTAAAGGCTCTACTTCCCATGGTAGTCAAATGAACAGATGGTACAACAAGAGTCACAGAAGCAGAAGACCTGAGAGATCGGGTAGGTGAATACACATGAAGTAGTTCACTCAGATATGAAGGTGCTAGATTGTGAAGAGCCTTATAAGGGAAAAGTAAAATCTTAAATTGAATTCGATATCTAATTGGAAGCCAATGAATGTGCCTTAAAACTGGAGTAATATGCTCATTCAATGGTGTTCATGTAATGATCCGAGCCGCTGAATTCAGAACCATCTGAAGTTTATGAATACGTTTCTGTGAAACACCACTGAGAAGAGAATTACAGTAATCAATTCGAGACGTAACTAATGCATGTACAAGGACAGCAGTACCATTAGCAGAAAGAGGTGGTAGAAGACGATTGATATTTCGCAGATAGTAATATGCTGACCGTGTAATATTATTTACATGTGCCTCAAAAGACAGAGTGCTGTCAAGGATCACACCAAGACTCTTAACCTGAGAAGGAGAGATAACAGAATCATCGATAGTAAGTGTAAAACTTCCATTATTATGCAGTTTTGATTTAGTACCTACTAATAAGATTTCAGTCTTCTCATCATTAACTTTGAGAAAATTGCATGTAAACCATGATTTAATTTCAGAAAGACAAAGCAAAAGGGAGGAAGACGGTAATACTGAATTAGGCTTCGAAGACATATAGAGCTGGGTGTCATCTGCGTAACAGTGAAAGTTTATATTAAACTTACGGAAAATCTGTCCTAGAGGCAATAAATAAACAATGAACAGAAGAGGGCCCAAAACGGAGCCTTGAGGCACACCACTGGTTATCTGCGATATCCGCAATTGAAATTTTTTATATCTGAACGAACTGAGTCCGACCAGATAAATATGATTTAAACCAATCAAGGGGGATACCAGTGATTCCAATAGAAATCAACCTCTGCAATAAAATACTATGTGAGATAGTGTCAAAAGCTGCAGTTAAATCGAGAAGAATGAGTATTGATAAAAATCCAGAATCCGCAGCAATTAACAAATCATTTGTGACTTTAATAAGTGTCTCCGTGCTATGATATGGACGATAGGCAGACTGAAATTGCTCAAACAAGTTATTCTCCATTAAATGAGCATGTACCTGCTGAGCAACAATTTTTTTCCAGTAATTTAGAAAGAAAAGGTAAATTAGAAATGGGTCGAAAGTTTTCTGGGTTATTATGATCCGCACCAGGTTTCTTAAGTATGGGAGTTATAGCTGCTACTTTAAAGGATGAAGGAATAGTACCAGTGACAAGAGAAGAATGTATGATTTGAGTTATCAGTGGTAACAAGGAAGGTAAACAAAACTTAAGATGTGTGGGAATATGGTCTAACTGACAGGTAGTAGATTTAGATTTTTGGACACATTCCACTATTTCATTAGCCGTAGGCAAATAAAAACTAGAAAAAGCAGTTAAAGTGGAAACATCCTGAAAAGAGAAGAATGAACCACATGCCCCATTATTGTGAGTTAAATTCTTTTGAATAGTTTCAATTTTATCACTAAAATAAGTCATAAAAGTATCACATATAGTATTAGAATGTGAATGTAATGAAAAAAATATCTGGTGGTCTCAAAATATTATTCATTTTAGAGAACAATATTTTTGTATTCCCACCATCAGAGTTGATCAAATTGGCATAATAATTTGTTTTAGCAGTAGAAAGGGCTTCTTTGTAGTCTCTAATACGGTGATCATACATGTCCTTGTGTACAATTAAACCAGATCTCTCTTTGAGCAATTTTTGATACAGTTAATTTGGCACTGAAAGACACAAGTTTATGATCAGATATGGACAGGTCACGTGAACTACAATTAAAAGGTGTTATTCCAGTGCAACAAATAAGATCAAGTATGTGACCTTTTGAACGAGTTGGAAAATCAATAAACTGTTTTAGTCCAAAGCTATCCAAGCATGATAGAAAGTCTTTTGTATCAGTAGCAGTAGCTTTATCAACATGGATGTTAAAATCACCAACCATAATCACATTTGGAGAAACAGAACGTAATAAAGTTTAAAAAGCTGAAAGTTCAGTTAAAAAGTTAGTATTAGATTTAGGTGGACAGTAAACCGTTGTTATGATAGTGGGTACTGGTCCATTAACTTGTAACACCATGGATTCAAAAGAAGCATAAGAAGGTACAGCTATAGTTGACACCTTCCATTTCTTATTATATAGCATTGCTAGACCGCCACCTCGACCCGAGACTCGGGGCTGACATGCATAAGCAAAACCTGGAGGAATGGACTGATTCAGTGAGAAAAGTCATTGTGTTGCTGCCATGTCTCAGTCAAACAGAAAAAACAATGGTAGCTCAAAATGTGTTTAGGAGGCAAAACGAACTCCCCCAAAAAGTTCGCTTTGGTGAGCTGTTTCGAACTGCCAAAATGAACTCAAAACGAACTTAATTTCGGCCTGATTTTGTTTGAAATGACGTCATTTCAGTTCGTTCTTTGATTTCGTTTGAAGTATATTAAGTGAATAAAATGCAATATTTGTCAAGAGACGTTTTCATGAAGCAACAGAAACACTTCTATGGCAAGCTGTTTTAGCTTAAAATATTCCAAGCGTTACTCGTCGTAATTGCATTTTTACTAGTAACAATTCAATTAGAGAGCTCTCTAAATCTATTTTAACTAGTTACAAATGCAATAAGAGAGCTTTCTAATTTAATTAGTGAGCTCTGCAATTGCATTCTTACTAGTAACAATTATGATTATAGAGCTCTCTAATTCAATTCTTACTAGTAAGGGGGATTCAATTGCGACATTATTTTGGGGTATTTTTTCGATAAGCTTAATTAGGCGATATTTTGCTGAGCGTGTTTTTGTGCCGGAACCGTGGTTTTGGCCAGTAGGTGGCAGCACAACTCTGTCTTACTGAGTGATTCATTTAAAACCACAGATTCATGCAAGTACGAAACATGTCTCTCGGAGACGCACAACAGTTCTTTTCCGGCTTTGTTTGGAGCTATTTGTGTTGGTGAAACAAAAATAGAAAATAGTGTGTCCAAAATGTAACTCATGTATTAATTTCTTGGTTGTTGAACTGTATAAAATCAACATCACATTCACGATCATGCTCGTGCGCTAATATTCGGAAAACGGCACTCTTGCTTGTGTGACATTACTTAACTATATCAGATGTTATAAATATAAAAAACAAATACTATATTTTTGCCCTCATAATTATAGTGGCATTCTAACTGCATTCTAATAGGCTTCATCATGCAGTAAATGCTTGTGTTAACAGTACAGGACCCAGCCTTAGCATTATTGTGTGAGTGGATAATGCGAATAAAGCCCTTGCAAAGCATAACAAAAACAGGTATTTTACAACCAATAATTAAATATGCATATTGTGGAGAATACATTTATATGCATGTTTTCTGTGCAAGTGTGAATTCACCTTTAAAAATAACGTACAGTAGCTACATAGACTACCCATATTTTTTCTCTGTAAAGCATAATCATCTTATAATGATTTTAATCAATATATAATAATACTTAATAGATCATTAGAGCCTCAGCGCTGCTATTCATCATTAAAAGCTTCTTGACTGAACAAGCTGCTTGAGTCCCCATTTTCTTTTTTTAAGATCTATTTCTGGCATTTTTGCCTTTATTTCCGATAGGACAGTATAAGTGAATTGGGGGGAGGGGTGCGGGATGGGACTCAAATTCAGCATACTGTAGCGCAACGGTGTTATCGACGGACTGCCCACAAGGCTATCGGGACAGACAGTCACCCGTTTTATGAAAATGCATGGCGCAATTATCATAATGAGGTCGCGCTGAAAAGAGAGCTCTACAATGCAATTCTTACTAGTAAGAATAGTTATTGTAGAGCTCTACAATTACATTTTTACTAGTAAGAATGCAATTCCACAGCTCTACAGCTACATTCTTACTAGTAACAGTTAATTAGAGAGCTCTATAATTCAGTTCTTACTAGTAAAGATTACAATTAGAGAGCTCTCTAATTCAGTTCTTGCTAGTAACAATTGAATTATAGAGCTCTGCCATTACATTCTTACTAGTAAGAATTCAATTAGATAGCTCTACAGTTCAATCCTTACTAGTAAGAATTACAATTACAGAGCTCTCTAATTCAATTGTTACTAGTAAGAACTAAATTACAGAGCTCTCTAATTCAATTGTTACTAGTAAGAACTAAATTAGACAGCTCTCTAATTCAAATACAGAGCTCTGCAATTAAGCGTATCTTTAATTTGTTTTTTACTAGTAAAAATTTAATTATAGAGCTCTGTTAACAGGGGGGCAAACACTTATTCACACAGGGCCATGTAATTTTGGATTTTGTTTTCCCTTAATAATAAAAACCTTCATTTAAAAACTGCATGTTGTGTTCACTTGTGTTATCTTTTACTAATATTTAAATTAGTTTGATGATCTGAAACATTAAAGTGTGACAAACATGCAAAAAAATAAGAAATCAGGACGGGGGCCAACACTTTTTCACACCACTGTATATATATATATACACACACACACAAACACAGGTATATATCTTTTAGATCTGTAATGTTTTTTTAATGGAGTCTCTTATGCTCATCATCAATGCTGTATTTATTTTATCAAAAATACAGAAAAAAAATGTAATATTGTGAAATATTATTGCAATTTCTGATATTGGTTTCCTATCTTATTATACTTTAAAATATAATTTATTTCTGTGATGCAGCACTGAATTTTCAGCATTATTAGGCCTACTCCAGTCCTCAGTGTCACATGATCCTTTAGAAATCATTCTTATGCTGATTTATTATCAGTGTTGAAACTTGCGCTGCTTAATATTTGTTGG